TTGAAAAGTGATACACATGCCAAGATATATGATTAAAGAGAACATATTAGGCCTTGATCACTTATGTGATAATAGGATGAAGGCAAAAAGTAATTTGTTAGGATTATCAATTTAAAAATGCTGCACTAACTTGTTGATTATATTTATCATGTGAATTTTCTATAATTGTAGCTCATGGTATCCTAATCTTTGAACAGATTTACAGGTTATGAATTATTTCCCAAGCATTGTGCAAAACACCAAATGCTAAAATAGGTGAATATTGATTTATAACACTTCTGTATTTAGAAAACTAGTTCCTTAACTGGTTCATCTTTATTGTCACTTTAACTCCTATAAGAAACCTGTTGCAGCTTCCATACAAAGGGAAGAGAGAGTGAGCATTTTTCTATAAATAGTATGAGGCATTCACTACCCGGTCCTAGAGTATTAGAACAACCCTCTGCAACTGAGCTGACATGTTCTTGTAATGACTTGACCTCCATAAAAGTTCCCAAGTTAAAATGGAAAAAGTACACTGAAATAATCACACGTCAAGCCTTCTTACGAGGGTTAGCACTTGCTTAAGGAAAATAAACTGCTGCCTGAGGGAATGACACTCAATGCTTTAAAGATTTGAAATAAAACTGGTAAACCATAATTATTTTAAAAAGAATTATACACACACATACAGAGTTTTTAAAAGCAAATAAAAAATACTTACTGGAACATCGACATATTTTGCAGCTGCTTTCACCTTAAGTGGAAAAGAGATAATTATGAGAATTATTTTCTTAACTGTTGGATAAGTACTATGACAACAGCCAAAAGACAGCAGAAGAGAACTCACTCAAATACTTACAGTGAATGACAGAATGGATGAAAAGAAAGTGCCTTCATCGTATCTTGACAGCTTAGATAACACCCCTTCCAACACTGAAACAAACTGTAATTGTTTATAGTGAGTATTTAGAATATTACAAATTAATAACAAGGCAAATAATTTTTGGACCAACTTCTCCCACACCACAAAAGTCCACAATGAATAAACTGACAGTCAAGAGGCTGACTTGTAATGTTTACTCTTCCATTTTGAGGATGAGCTCTAAGGTCCTTTTCTATTGCCGGAAATAATAAAGTGTTTTTTTGTTTTTTTGTTTTAAGATAAAAGAATAACATGTAATAGCAGCCTGGTCACCAAACATGTGTGATAATTTTAACCACTGATAAATAACTTGAAATTCCTGAGACTATTCCTTAAAACAATTTTCAACTTCAGGAGAGATGTTTAGAAGCAATGATGGCCAAGTGTAATCAGATTCCTTTCTATCATAGATCACTTGACCATTCCCCAACTTTTTCTATCTACAGAAGAGGTTGAATCAAAATGACCAGATAATGGAAGGAATGTGTAACATTTGAGGTTCCTGTAACATGGTAACAAAGTCCAACATTGGTTAACAGGCATTGACCAAGCAGCTCTAATGAGGACATACAAGGACCAAATCTGCTTTCAGAAGCTTACAAAGCAGTTGGAGAGCTAAAACAGATAAAACACTCTGCAGGCCATGAGGGAAAGAGCACTAGATTGAGCTTAATATAAGCTCCTGATTCCACAATGACTACTATGTGGGCTCAGGCCAACCACTGCATCCATCAGTTCTTCTAGCAGTTAAATTGTGTGTGCGTGTGTGTGTGTGTGTGTGTGTGTGTGTGTACACGCGCGCATGCACTGTGGGTGGTGTGGAATTAAGATTCATCTCAAGTGTTTTACATTTCTACAATTTTATATTTCTCTGAAGTTAAATTTAAGACATATATACCATAATATGATTAAACATGTGGGGAATTATATTTCATTGAGTGGAAACACTAAGATCTGGCACAAAGAAAAGAAATTAGTAGGAATTTACTGCTGTGCATCTTTCCTCTTTAGAACTAAAATAATATGCACTATTGACAAATTATATACTCCCAAAGGGGAAATACTGACAAGGTTTTTTTAAATACAAAAAGGGAAATTAACGAAGGCTGGTTTTTGTTCACATAGCAGCTTCTTCAACAAAGTGATAATAGTTCTAGGGACACAGCTTATTGGTCTCTGGTGACCAGAGAACTCACTGAGCATGCACAGGAGATAATCTTTTCTCTATGGCTGGTCAATTACTGCAAAATAGTTTATGCAAAAGAAACAAAAACTTCCCTATAGGTTTCTCCATCACATCATGTGCGACATGATGTAAGAACACAGAAACAAAATCATGCAAACTGCTGACTAAAATCGTATTTTTAAAGAATGAAAATTATGTATGGCTCGTTAGTTGTCCTAAGGGATACAAACAGCAAAAAACACAAAATTACAAATTGCTCACAGCTAAAAGTCAATTTAGCACTTTCTTCCTGCCCATTAGGATGTCTTACCAACCACAGCTGGCTAACTCAACTTGATGTGGTTTGCAAAGACCCAGAAGACCAATACTCCAGGGCTATGTCAGACCAGGGAAAGGGAATTCCAAACTTAATGGCCCTCTGTGGAAAATGCCTCATCTCTTCTAACTCAAATCTTGAGAGCCAGTGTGGGCTGGGTGATCTCATTTGCCATGAGGAGTGCGACAATTGCTATGGTTACCAGACTACCTGAGCCAGTGAAGGCTCTAGCCCAGCACCTGGTTCTTGGTACCCTCAAGTGAGTATGTGTGTACACACGTAAGTGGTGCTGGGGGACAAGGCAAGGTAGAGGCAAGAACCCTGTGGATAGATTTAGAAGATCTTAGTTCAATTGTAGCCCTGACAATCTCTGGCTATAGGGCAATGGTCAAGCCTTGAGCTTCTCTAGCTTTAGCATACTCATCAGTCGAAGGGGGGAAAGTGACAGCCATCCATCCTGTCCATCTCACAAGGATCAGTGAAGACCAGTTGAGATGATTTATGTGAAAGGACTGTGAAAACAGCAAAATACTAAAGAAATGTAAAGAGTTAATATTATTGATATGATTAGCTAAATCACTATCCATTACATAGGTCTAAAAACCTATGTAATAGGTCTAAAAAGTCACAAGTTAGTGGGGGTAGCCTTAGGATTGTTTAGTGCTAAGGAGTAATAATGAGTTTGGTTATTGGCCAATGGGTCTAATTCAATTAAAAGATATCTACTGAGGTAGAACAGAGTTGAGGATGTAAATGAGACCTGCGTTAAAATCCCACCTGTTTCAAGGGTGTTTGGTTGACAGCATGGGAAGGAGGCTTTGAACACAGGTGGTCTGGCTCCAAAGCTCATGTTCTTTACCATTAGGGGTACACAGTTGTAAGCATTAAATGAAATAAGTCATGTGCCCAACATATCAGCACTCAGTAAATGTCATTTTGTTATTATTGAGCCCCTAATGTGGGAAAGAGACAATATGAATCTTTGACCTTTGCTTTCTTTCGTTCCAGGAACATACAAACTAGTGGGAGAGACAGACATGTATACTACTGGTCCTGACAGGCAGAATGTTTTAAGGGCCAGCAGAGATGGGTAAACAGTGTAACTGAAACACGAGGGAAAGCATGACCTCTAACCAGATGATGTCCGTAAGCTCCCAGGTGATACAGGAGCTGAGCTAGCTTCCGGACGGCAGCATGGAGGGGATAAAATGACACTTGGGGAAGCAACTCTTGGTGGATGGTTTTAGGGCACCAGGTTCCTAAGCAGCACTGGGTCGTATCTGTGTAAATCCTACACGAGGACTGGGCTGCTGCATCCGTGTCACAACATCCTTTGCCTCCATTTTAACAATAGCAGAGAGCCTCTCCTTGAGTTCCTCCCCACCCCAAACGGTCCCGGGGGAGGGGGGCATGATACAGCAAGGGACCCTATGTGCTTCCATGGCGGTGAACAGTGTCTGCACCACTGGGATCAACCAGCTGAGCCATACAGTTCCTACAGGAAAGCTGTTTTTGTGAGATTTCTCCAAGGCACATGCATTAGAAGAGCGGCCTTAAAAGCCAAACTCTATTAAAAATCAAGATTGACTAATGATGATATATTTTCCATTTGGCCGTTAATTGCACAAAACAGCAAGATTCCAAAGACATCCAGTTAAACGCTGGGTTTAGTTGCTGTGTCTTTAACTGCTTCCTGTGAACTTTCTCAGTACAGCTCAGGGAGTATATAAATACTTAGGGGCTTGCCTTGTGCTCTCTGTTCTCCTGAGGGTGTCGGGTTGGAATGAAACACTGTAATCTCTTTGTTTCCCTGCTCTTTATTGTAGACGCCATTTACTGGGTTTGTTTGAATAATATTTAACACCTAAAGTCTGTCTGGGTAATTACCAACTTTACCTCACTATGCACACTCTCAAGGAAATTAAAGATGAAAAGCACTTTGAAATGACTAGTCGAATGAAACATGCAGTATGCCACAAGGCATGGCGCTTTCAATTTCCTGTTGAATTTTAACAGGGTATAAGATTCATTTTCCCACATGCATGGAAAGTAGACCACAAATTCTAAAACGTTATTGGGAGGATTCCAACTGTAGATTGGTGGGTTCAAAACACAATTCCTGCTTTTTTAGCTGTGACACTTCACGAATAAGGGTAATAAGGGTATTTGCATCATTTACACTGCAAGTTATAACACCTTCCACAGAAAAGAGATTCATCCAAATAAGACTGATGATAAAAAACTAAGTTCTTTCCCTTCCTTTTCTCTTCTTTTTTTTTTCTTTTTTGGGAGGGGGGAAGGGTTAGTGGTGCTGGAGATAACTATTTTATTAGCAGATGTTTTATGTTTATTTGGTAAGATCAGGACTAGCTAGTATTGTTAAAAATCCACATGGAACTAGAATACCACGGACTGGAAAAAACCAGGTTTCCTTCCCTGAATCAGAATGTTACTGTTATGATACAATGCAACTGTCCCTTCCTCATCCTCTTTTCTCCAACTGTGAATCCACTTCTTTGAACCTTTGTTCCAACTGACTCCCAAAAGGTCTTTCTAGATTTTCTGTATCTGTGTTGGGGATGCGCACTATTTGAGTGCTGGCTTCAGCAGCACATATACTAAAATGGGAGTGATACAGAAGATTAGCATGGCTCCCACCCAAGGATGGGTAGTATTTGACAGCAAATATTTACTTGTAACATACCTTGTTCCACAAAGTGTCTAAGACAACTTCCAAAAGGGCACATCTAGCACAGACATTGGTAAATTCTCCACACTCCTCTCCTTGTTCCTTTTTCCCTTGCCCCACAAAGAGAGCAACCTATCGTATTTTGTATTTCCTCTCTCCTAATAATCCTTTTAAGCATATAGTTGGATTTGAACAGGTGTCTTCTGACTATATAGCCTTGATCCAAATGAGTAAATTTAATTAAATTAATCTTAGGATGAGTTGGTGAGATATTTTAATTACAGAATCTAGGTAGTCAGGTGTGATGTATCCTCTGCCCATCTTATTCTTAAAGGAAATGTAGGGGAAAATATTTTAGGTTATCAGAAAGAATGTATGTGTGTCTGCATATATTTACACCTAGCTCTATACCTATGAACTCAGTGAGGTAGTGTGTCCGTGTTCCTAAATCCCTTTTTGCAATAATGAAGGATTTCGTGGATTGAATATATTCCTATGCTCTTTTGCTTCATACCCAGGATCTCCTAAGCCCCGTTAACCAGGGTGCGTCCTGAGAGTGGTCGCAGCCTCATTCTCTGCTCTGCTAACCGTTTCCCTGGCCAGTCCTTTCTCCCAGCTCTCTCAGCTTTTCTCTAGCATCCTCATTTGACATACAACGAACCCCATTCCCCTCTACCTACCTATGCTGGTCCCACCGCGAGTATGCCTATGTGCGATTGTCACAGGAGGGACACACGGGCTGGTGAGTACAACCCAGATACAAAGGGGGCACCAGAAGACTGGGAGGTAAAGCTCCCACTCTTTTTTTCTCTGCTCTTGCTGAATTCTGTGTAGCGTGATGGAAAGATGACAAGCCTAGGGACCACAAAGGCCAGGTCCTGGCTCCACAGTTACCTACCATGTGACCTGGGGCCTGTTTCCTCATCTGTGAGCCAGGGGACTGGACTCTGGGGTAAACTCTGGTTTACCTTGGGAGTTTGCCTTGGGCAGAGCTCCAGGCCTCCTTCCCCTCTTTACTCAGGGCAGTTTTGCTCTGATCAATGTGATGCTTTTGGTGCTACCCAAGATATATTTGAGAACATTAAATATGTCTTCTGAACATTATAAAAATACTTGAAAAGTCCTTGCTAGAGGATCTCAGGGTTCCAACTCTAGCACTGTGCATGCCATGGGACTCTGGAACCTGAGGAGAAACGATGTGGGTCCCCAGAGGCCTCTATAAAGAAATGTATGTAAGGATTTTTGTTTTAGACTGACAAAAGGGTATAGATATTTTTTGTCATCTAATACTCATGCTTTTTTGATGAGGATACGAAATTGTATAGGGAGACCCAGAGGGTAACATGAAGAAACAGGAGCAGAGTTCAGATCTTCTGATTCTCCCACACTTTGGTCAACTTAATTATTATAAGGTGGTGATAAATATGGCATTTTTGGTATCCTTTCCTTCGCAAGATTTAATGTTCCCACTATCATTTTTTTTTCCCTCAGTAAAAATATCTAAGTCCCTTTCTGGCTAGGAGCATCTTTATTTTTTTCCGTTTTAAGGTTGATTTCCATTTCTCCACAGGGTTTCGAGTTATGGAATATCTGCCTAAGAACAGTAGCCACTGACATACCATCATTTCTAATGGATGAAATCTTATAATAACATTGATAGTTTGGTTCCATATGCTTCCTCTGAATTCCAGACTCAGCTATCTGATTGTCTCCTTGGCCTTCCCTCCTTCAGATATCAGTCAACTCAGTCTCCACGTGTCCAATACTGACATCGTGGTCTTTCCCTCAAAATCTGTTCCTCTTCCAGGCACCCGGGGTCAGTCAATGGCTTCAACATGCATGCTGTGCTTCAAGCCATAAACCTAGGAGCAAGTTAGGTTTTCCCTTCTCTCCCCATTACTAACCCTGGGGCTGCTGTAACAGAATACCTTAGACTGGGTGACAAAAAAGTACACATTTTTTCCCCTCACAGTTCTGAAGGCTGGGAAGTCCACAAACAAGAAGATGGTATATTTGGTGTCTGGTAAGAACCCACTTCCTGGTTCAAAGATGATGGCGTTTGGCTGCATTTCTACATGGCAGAAGGAGCTAGGGAGCTCTGTGGGGTATTTTTTTTTTTTTTTTAAATAAGGGCGCTAATCCTATTTATGAGGGCTGCATCTGCATGACCTAATTACCTTCCAGAGGCCCCACCTCCTAATACCATCACCTTAGGGATTATTAGGTTTCAACATAGGAATTTGGGTTGGGGGACACAAACATTCAGTCTATAGCACTCTTTAAATGTCTTAAATGTCTTTGGGTTAGTCCACCAGAGATCAACAGAACAGTCTCGGCAGTACCCTCTCTGTAATCTATTTGCTACAGGCAATCAGATGAATCTTCTTATAATGCAGATATGATTAACTCCTCACCCTTACTCGCTGCCACCCCAACCCTTCCATGGCTTCCCAATGTTCTTAGAGGAAGACATTAGGTTCCTCAGGTCTGAAGTTGGGCTTTTCACCATGATTGCACTCTGCCTCTTAGACACAGAGTTGGGAATCATTAGTACATAAAATCAGAAGTGTGAAAGTCACAGCAATTTGTGGAATGAGCTCAAAAGAAGACTAAAGATGGAAACCCAAGGAATACCAGCATTTAGGTACTAGATGGAGAAAGGACACAGAGATGGAAAGCCAAGTTCTTTTCTCAGCATGGAAATGTGCATGCAGTTGGGGCACATACTGTTGAGTGCTATGTATGATAGAGAGCCCTGGCTCATTGTTCAATCATTTGTGAAGATGTGTGGAATAAGAAGAGGATATGGAGGTGGGATTGAAGAGAGGAGTTAAAAAGAAGGAAGTATTCTTTCTAACTTAACCAAACGTAGCAAATATATTTATCAAGACGCACAGATTAAAACATGAGAAGAAACATTTGGAATACAACACAAGTAATTCATTATTCTACTCTATTTCATGTTGAGTTAATTAATATGCTAGGATAAAATAAAAATGTCTAGGACAGGACTCTTGAAATCTGACAGGGTAAAGACAGTAAATGTAGGTGTTACCCATTTTAATTTTTAGAGTATTTTGCATTTCACTGATTTCCTAGACATCCAGAATCAGCACGTACATTGGATTAGGAACCTGAAGCTCAAAACTTTGGTTCCTGACTCTCTTAATTAGGTCTGTGGTCAATTTAGTAGACTACTGTGAGGACTTTGTTTGTATCTGTGAATTAGGGTAAGACTGCTCATCCCATAGGGTTTCACAGCTGGTACTTCATAAATATCCCCTTTTAAGATATCATTTCTTCAACAACAACAAAAAAATGTGAACACACTATCTTAGAGGGTTGTTTTGTTTTTAAACATTATACTGAAGTTTAAAGATCTTTCACATGATAGCCTGGATAGAGATTTATCAGAGCAGTGTTTGTCAAAGTCTGGCTCACTGTACTCCTACAACAAAATTACCATGGTGACTGGTTAAACATGTACCTTCCTGCTCCTCTTCTCAAACTTCTGATTCAGAATTGTTGGAAAGTGAGGCATGGAATCTACATTTTAACATGACCTCAAGTAATTTCTGGCTTGCTAACATTTAAGAATTGAATTATAGAACCTTATTTTCTTTGCTTAATAAAATAAAAAAAATCATTTATTGTCATCTCCTATGAGAGCTTAAGATGATTGGTTCAATCTATGAAGTCAGTTTATTTTATACTTTTCAACTGAAGAATGAAAGATTATTAAAAAGTACTGTTAAAGTGGGAGCGCCTGGGTGGCTCAGTTGTTAAGCATCTGCCTTCGGCTCGGGTCATGATCCCAGGGTCCTGGGATCGAGCCCTGCATCAGTCTCCCGGCTCAGTGGGAAGCCTGCTTCTCCCTCTCCCGCTCCCCCTGCTTGCGTTCCTGCTCTCACTCTCTCTCTCTGTCAAATAAATAAATAAAATCTAAAAAAAAAAAAAGTACTGTTAAACTGCAGGAGAAATGATCCACAGAAAAAGACTAATCTAGATCTGATCTCCATATATAATAGCTAGTTCCATTAGGCTATTTAAGTTAAAATTAATTAAAATTAAGTAAAATCAAAATTTCAGTTCCTTAGTTGTACTAGCCACATTTCAAGTGGTCTATAGCCACATGAGACTAGTAGTCACTCTACTGGATGGTGCTGGATAAATATTTTTATACCACAGAAAGTTGTACTGAATAGTACTGATCTCTAGAATACCGTTTGCTTACTTGATTCAAATATACTATTTTTTCATTAAAACAGATGTATCTGATATAAAAATAAATCAGTTTTTTACTTTGCCAGGAAAGAGTGCAGAGATGATGTGCAGCCCTGCCAGCCTCCTCTGCAACCCTCCCCCCACCACCAGAAATCTTGAACTAGTCTCTTTTCCTTGCTGCCTATTTAACCCTTTACCAGCTGCATGCTATCATGCAATTTAATGACTTCCAGTATGCCCCCTTCTCGCAAAAGACAACTTGCACAGGAGAACTGTGAAGATGGGGAGGTGCCATCTGGGTAAAATCTCCCTGGATGACTCGCAGACAATGAAGGCACAAAGTAACTTCCTTTCACTTTAGTGGGCTGTCTGTGCAGTGTTGGGAGCTGCTGTGCTGGGCTCCTGAGAGGCTGGAAATCTCCCTGCTCTGCCTCTGGAGCTTTGTTCTCCAGCGGCTCACCTCTCCCCCACCGGCTGGGTGCTTTTACTGTTCACCTTTTCCCTTTCCACTTGTTGGTAACTGTGTGTTGTACGTGAAGGTGCAGGTATTCTTGTGGGGGTAGAAGTGAAGAGAATGAGAACAAACTGGAGGGGTGGTGGTATGCTAAAATCTTCTTTCTGGCTCTTTTCTATCTCAAGACTTGCTACCAAGGAATTCAGAAAATACCAAACGAAATAAACAAACAAACCCCCAAAACCCTGAAGAATCCACCCGCCTCCAAAATCAAGTATAATTCCACCATCCAGAGAAGCTCTGTCAACAATTTTGGTGTTTATCCTGTCTTT